TACCATTTTAAAGCGTAAAGTTCAGTAGTGATATGAATATTCACATTGTTGTAAAACAGACCTCAGTGCTTTTCCATCTTGCAAATCTGAAACACTATCCCCATGAAACAACTTTCTCTCCCTGTTTCCCCAGCCCCTGGTAACCACTATTCCATTTTCTGTTTCTATGAATTTGACTACTTTATTGTTATTTTTTTTAGCGTAAGCTCTGTGCCCAACATGGAGTCAAACTCACGACCCCGGGATCAAGAGTCTCATGCTCCACCAACTGAACCACCTAGGCAGCCCTAAACCTGACTACTTTAAATACCTCATATAAGTGGAATCATATAGCATCTGTTATTTTGTGACTGGCTTACTTCACTTAGCAAGTGTCCTCAAGGTTCATCCATGTGGCAGAACTTCCTCCTTTTTTAAGGCTGAATAATATTAATTTGTATGTAAACACCACATCTGTCCATTCATCCATTGCTGGGGACATGAGTTGTTTCCATCTCGTGGCTATTTTGAATATGGCTGCTATGGACATCAGTGTACAAATATCTCTTTGAGGCCCTGCTTTCAATTCCTTTGGATAAATACCCAGAAGTGAGAATTGCTGGATCATTTAGTAGTTCTATTTTTAATTGTTCGAGAAGGCTACATACTGTTTTCCATAGCAGTTGCACCATTTTACATTCCCACCAGCAGTGCACAAAGGTTCCAGTTTCTCCACATCCTTACCAACACTTGTTATCCACCCATTCTTCCTTCCTCCCTTCTTCCCTCATGCCTTCCATCCACCCATTCTTCCTTCCTTCCTCCCTCCTTCCCTCATGCCTTCTATCCATCCTTCCTTCCTTCTCTGATAGTAGCCATCCAAAGGAGTGTGAGGTGAACAAATGTATTGTTTTAATACAGTTCTAGGGAAACTGTTTGAATTCCTCAAAAGAATAAACACTTTTGACCCTGAGAAGCACAGAATCTTCCTTTTTTTTTTATAGATAAGCAACTAACAAACTTTATGTATCAGAAGCATATCGGATCTAATCTCATTAAACATATTCTGCTTTGTGGATTAACCTCCTCCACCTCCATCACTCCAAATTTTAGAGTGTTCACTATGAAAGGATAGTGACTAGTTTTGTGACCACTGCAGCAGGTCCACCCTGGGTACTTGCTTTCTCCTCAAAAGCCAGGCTACCTCCAAATGTCTCTCTCCCTCTGATGTCCCCCAGCTGTTTGTATCCTTTTCCTTCCTTGGTTCCCCTCTGCTGCTGTCACTTCTGGAATGAGGGGTTCTCCATAGTTGCAGCTCTCCAACTCTGCTCCAACTTCTTTCCCTCCCCGTACCCCCTCAGGAACCAACCCTCAGATCCTTGTCCCCAGCTTCAGGCCCTCTGTTAACTTGCTCCAGCACCTGCTCAGGGAGGTGTGTGTGTGTGTGTGTGTGTGTGTGTGTGTGTGTGTGAGTGTGTGGTGTGGTACCCAAAACTACATTCCCTTAGCAGCGTGGTTCCCACGTGTGCCTCCCACCATACCACATATCCTTCTTTTATAGAGATACATTCTTTCTCTCACAACCTGCCCCCTACAAGGTAGCCAGCATCTAATCTGGACCTTCTGAAGAAGCAGCAGGCTGTTACAATGCTTTTGCAGAAACACCAGCTGAGAGACCCTGCTGGCTCCAGCCCGTTGCCTTCCTAAGGGCTTTTCTTGAGCTCTTTAGATGATACGTTATTTTGCCTTAATGCTGGCCTCAGACACTGGCTCTCTCATGAAATAGAACTCTGCCACACCATTTTATCGTTTTTTTTTAAGATCGAGTTAAATTTAACACAAAATATTGTTGAGGTTTTAAATGTATGGTTCAGTGAGGGTTTGGGTTTTTTTTTTAGGATTTTATTTCTAGGGAATCCCTACCCCCGGGATCAAAAGTCACATGCTTCACCTACCATGCCAGGTAGGGACCCCCAGGCAATAGAGTTTTGACAAATGTGAACCCCCACAAATTACAATATTTTGATACATAATCAGCTAATTTAGAGAAATTGCAGGATTCCATAGAACTACTGGAAAGAATATGGGGTTTGGAGTCAAGAGACCTGGTTGGTCAAGCCTCTCCATTAACTAGCTGTGTGACCTGGGGCAAGTGCCATCCCCTCTCTGAATCTTTGTTTTTGATCTTTATGGTAAGACCAGCTCTAGGGGCCTCCTCTCACTACAGGCCCACATGACATGACAGGGGTTGAACAGAGGTCATACCAGACTTCCTGAAATTATGCAGAGTTGCTATGTCCTGCCTACATTTGCAAAGTGAAGGTACCTCACCTGGATCCTTTCAATCAGATTCCTGAAGAGAAACTAAAGAAATAATAATTACAACAATAAACAAAGATGTCAGAAATCAGTCAAACTGAGCTCTATCTACATCCTGTAGGAATGTACCAAATGCTTATAAATAAATCCTTCTCAAATTTGTTTGCTCTGGTACATTAATGAAAGAAGATTCTGAAGGGATTAGCTTCAAATTCACAGCAAGTATCAAAAACACACTGTTTGCCAAATAGGTTGAGTTTAGCTATTTTGCTGTTTGGAAGCTAATGTGCCTTGCTAAAAGAGGAAAGGGCTCTCCAACATAATAAGACAAATCCCTCACATCCGTAGAGCATTTTTGCACTTTTTGAAGCCTTCTTGTTTATTTATCCTGTGATCTATGCATCTGTTCTACAACAGGAAGCAGGACAGGGATTATTCTGTCTCCTTTTTTCAGGTGTGGTCCTGAGGCCTGGAACAATGAAGTGAATATTCTCACAGTCACCAGTGAGCCCACCCGCTCTGGATTCCTAGCCCTGTGCTTTTGGGGCCTAGCTCCACTGTCTCTTTTGCAAACAAACCAACCAACCCTGAGAACAGAGTCCAGGAAGATCTGAAAATGATAATAACAACAAGAACTTTCAAAGGTAGCAGTTAACAGAAACAGGCATTTGTTGCCTTCCCACTAGGTATTAATGCTTACAATTTTCCCAACAGCCCAATGAGGGTTCTCCCTATTTTGCAGAAGATGAATGGAGGCACAGAGAAGGTTCATGGCTCGCTCAAACTCATATAGCAAGTAGGTTCCAGAGCTGGGATTCTTCCCAGGCCACTCAGAGCCCAGACTTTGTGCACCTATGCTGTACTGCCTAGTGTTGCACCATGCTGCAGAAAGAACTTCCTAAAGCTGTTCATGGGCGAGATGAGCAGCCCTGAGATTCAGAGAGGCCCCTGTTCCCAGCACTTCAAGTGGAATCCAAGTGATCATGATCACTATTGAGCAAGGTTTAGAGGGCAGTTACATTTAAGGCAGAGGGCCAGGCCAAGCATCCCGAAGGTCCCTTCTAACCAGAGATTATAGGATTTGTTTGAAAACTCCCAAGGAGGCCAGCCTTTCCTATCAGGGCAATGAGTGACAAGTCTTCTTGGCCCTTGAGCTTCTAGACTGAACATCCTCTCCCAGGTGGCTGTGCATGGATCATCCTGGAAATCTGACAGCATGGTTCCCAGTCCTGGGACTGGGGAGGAGGGATTGTAGAACACGAAATTACAGGGTGCTGGCAGCCTGATTAAATCAGCATGCTGTGTGCAGTGCTGTGGCAATGCAACATACCAGGCTCACTCCCAGGCCCAGGGCCCAGATATTAGTCACAGAACCACAGTCAGAGCTACAGAGGCTCTCAACAGCACCTCATTCAAACACTGCTTTTCACACGTGGAGAAATGAAAGCCCAGAGAGGGGAAGTGACTTGCCAAAGGCCACACAGCATTCATTCAACCAAATATTAAGCGCCTACTGTGTGAAGCACTGTACTTGGGACTGGGTATTAAGGATGAACAAAATAGCCACAAGCTCCAGTCTCATCGAGTTTATATATTACTAGAGAAAATTGGCAAAAGAAGATAAACACATAAAATCAGAGATTGCGATCTGTGCTATGAAGAACATGGAGTATTTCAGCCAAGTTTATCAAGGGAGGTGTCTCTGAGAAAGGGGACTGTTTTAAGCTGAGGCTTGGAGGATGAGAAGAAGTATATGGTGTTTGTGTTTGTGTGTTGGGGACCATGTGTTCTAGGCAATGGGAATTATGCCCTAGAGGCCCCAGGCTGCCGAGAGCTCCATTTTGAGAAGCTGGCACAGTGCAAGGACAGGGTAGAGGAGCAGGGGCTGGGGGGTCAGAGGTGGATGGAGTCTGGAGCACATGGGGTCTTATGGGCTGAGGTGACAGGTCTGGAATTTATTCCTGTTGGAATATGGAGTCACTGAAGGGTCTTTTGCAGGAGAATGGCAGGCATGCCATAATAGTTCCTGCTTTTCTTGGTTGAGGTGCCCTCTGGGAGCCTCATCACTCTGGGAGGCTGGCACAAAACACACCAGGCGGTACAAGTCACACAAAATGAGCCTGGCTATTCCCCGTCTTTATCTAGTGATCTCTATGCACTTTATCCACATTAAGTAATTAGGTCACTTATGTTATTTGAGGTTCCCTCTTCCTACCATGTGTCACAGATCTAGAAACTCAAGTGCTGTGGGATCCTCTGGGAATTGGTGAACCTCTCTGATCCAGTGACTGTTGCTGGGACACGCAGTCAGGCAGCTTCATCAGCTTGCCACAGACTTTTCCCACCTCATTCCTGTGACCAGCACTCATCCTCTTTGTCATAGAGGTATGAAATGTTAGAAACTGCTATCAAGACTGCGAGGATGGGAAGAAACTTCCAGAACACTCAGAGTTGTTTTTTTTTTTTTAATGGGAAAACTAAATTCCAGAGAAGAAAAGAGACTTTTCTAGGTTCTATAGAACGTAGCAGGAGAAAAAAAAAAAAAAAAAAAAAAAAAAAAAAAGAACGTAGCAGGAGAGCCAGCCAGGGAGGGAGGCCTCTTTCTACATGCCTTTGTCCAATACCACCCCAGCAGAAAGGGAATCAATATTTCTCAAAGGGGTTCCTCAAATACCTGGCTCAGATTTGCTCTATATTACATGAGTTTGGGAAATGCTCTCTTTCTGAGAGATTCACCATGAATGGTAAAAGTCCCAAGCTATCCCACAGTAAAACATTTATTTAACATTGGTTAAATCCAGTGGTTCAACAGATTCCATCCTGGTGGTCTATCTATTCACATTCTGGAGACTTTACCTTGGGAAGTGCCACCCTAAACAAACAAACAAAAAAAACCCTGTCTACAGACCCTGCCATTATCACTATTATGCTTGCTATTATCACTGAAGGCAGGAGCCCTAGTTAATACTTGGGCTCATGTGATCATACCTCTCTCCAGGAGCCTTGCATGATGCTGAGTACTCAGGGATGATGGCACAGATCAATTAATCAACAAACACTGCTGATATATGTTGACTCTGGACCTCCTTAGTCACACAGCCTCATCTGAGATAAGGGGCAGCTTACTTCTTTTCTCGACCAAGGGAAAGGCCTGGGGAAGGAAGCATTGGCAGGAAAACTCAAATATCCCTGAAGATCACCAAATGTTAAAGCAACCTGCCCTGCCCCATACCTTCCCTTTCATGGTGGACAAAGCCCACTCCCTAATTTTAAGTTGTTGTTTGTTTTTTTCTTTTTAATTTTATCTATTTGAGAGAGAGAGAGAAAAAAAAAAAAAAAACAGGAGCAGAGGGAGAGGGAGAAGTAGGCTCCCTGCTGAGCAGGGAGCCCAATGAGGGACTTCATTCCAGGACTCTGGGATCATGACCTGAAGGCAGATGCTTAACTGACTGAGCTACTCAGGTGCCCCTAATTCTAAGTTTTAATATACATATGGCCACCTGCAGGAAGGCTTCCCTGACTACCTCTTCCCTGTCCCTCTGGCCTGTGCTCCTCCTTGCCTCATCTTTAATCTCCAAAATTTGTCTATACCATGTGTTTAGTGACTGGGATTGTATCAACCTGTGCAAGGATCTCAATGAGGGTAGTTGGCTGCTTGGCTGGGAGTAACAAACACCAGAGGAAGGGTATGATCTGACACTCACTAGTGTGTGCTGGGCCCATCTAATCACAGCTAAACTCAATTAAAAAGAAAATACTGTGTGGGCCAAACAAAACATGCCTGTGGGCTGAAACTGGCCAGAAGGCTGACAGCTTGCAACAGCTAGAATGTGATCTGGAGAGGGAAGACATTGCATTTGGAATCTATAGAAGTCCGGGGGCTGCCATCAACTAGCATCAGGACTCCAGAGGAACACTTCATCTTTCTGAGAGCTGGTTTCCTCGTCTAAAGATTAGGGTAACACTTGCTCTGCATTTTTTGTGTGGGATTCGAAGAGTGTTTGTCTTGATGCTATGCCAATGATAATAATAGCAAATACTTATTCAGTATGTACTATTTGTCAGGTACTGTTCTAAGCACTTTGCATGTATTTACTCACTTAATTCTCATAATAACCCTAAAGGTAAGAGCTGTTATCATCTCCGTTTTACAGATGAGGAAACTAACACAGAGAGAGATGAAGGAACTTGCCCAAGGTTACAGAGCTGGCAGGTGGCAAAGCTAGCTATAAGATCCTACCCTTTCATAAATGTTGGTTCATTTACTGTTCTCAAAGGCATAATGAATTTTCTCAGGCAAGTATTTTCCTTTCCCCATTTTATAGATGGAGACAATAAAGCTCAGAGAAGTGAAGTAACTTACCCAACAACACACAGCTAGGAAATAGGCAAACCTGAATCTGAACTTAACTCTTTTGACCTCAAACCCTTTACTTTTTTCCCCTGTGCTATAAGTAAAGGACAGGCAAGTAGTCTGTGACAAGAACACTGTGCTAGTGTAGGGAGTTTTTTTTTTCCCCTGGGACAGAGAACATGTCTTTCCCTTTATTGTTTCCACCCTAGTCCCTAGAGCAGGGCCCTTCTGTTCTGAGAGCTCAGTACTTGTGACTGATTATGGTCATGTTGCCAGGAAAATTGCCTTCTGCCTTTGTTTTGGCTACTAATTTCCACCTGTCTCCATAAGAACTTGGATGTTTCCAGACTCTGGAATAATTGAATGTGGTTGTCTGAGTTTGTCTCACAGGTGGGGCAGGGGGTTTGTATTTTCCATTTGTGCCATGTCTCCTCTGAGGTGCTGGGGGGGTCTGGAATGGAAGGGGCATGACCTGGGTTCTCATTTTGATTCTGCTGCCCTGGCATCCTGGAGTAACTGACTGAACTGTGAGTCTCAGTTCTTCAGCTGCCAACTGGGGACAGTCATCTCTGTCCTTCCCCACGAAAGCCCTTTGTGAAATGCAATGTGGCAAACCATAGGGGCTCAATAGATGATACAACTAACTATGTGAAGGGAATTTACAGTGATGTGGAGAAAGTGCTCATAATACACTGCCAAGGTGGGAAAGCAAAAAATAAACCTGCTGAATTTGCAATACAATCTCAATTAGGTAAAACATACATAGAAAAAAGACTAGAAGAAAATACACCAACATGTTGCTGATGATTACCTCTGGGGTGTGGCCTTATATGCAGGTATTACTTTGCTATACTTAAAATATTTTCTGTTTCTTAAAGTTAGCACATTTACTTTTCATATTATATCTTATCATTTAAAAGTACATATATAATTTATATAGTTATATATAATTAACATATTTATTAAAGATATTATATATTAAGTATATATAAAATTGAGCACTTGGCCCTTGACAGCATTACTCTGGTTACCAAAACATTGACGTGATCGGGACTGATCCTGTAGTCATTCATTCATTCATTCATTCATTTTTTTTTTTTTGTCAAGAAAATACACTGAGGGCCTTCTTTGCGGGAGACACCAGTGATAGATCCAATAAGGGACAGTAAGAAGAATGGAATGCTATCCCTACTCCAAGAAATGTCATAAGCTAGATGGAGGAAAAGGTCTACTCAAAAGTAACCATAGCTGAAGAAAGAAATAACATAAAAAATTCCATATGCTTTAAGAATACTGCCATTAGGAGTTAAGAGTGGGGAGAAATCTCTTCTAGCTGTGGAAATTAAATAAGATTTCATGAGGAACTTGGCATTTTGTGCTGAACCTTGAAAGACAAGTAGAATTCTGGACCAGTGGAAATGATATTACTGGCAATAATAAAAGTAACAAAAGGTGATACTTACTTACCACATACTATGTGCAGGCATTGTGCTATTCAATTACACACATTATCTCCTTTAAAGATCACTGAAGCTCTAGGGGATAAGTAGTTCACTATCATTTCCAATTTACAGATGGGGAAACTGAGGCTTAGAAGTTAAATATTTGCTCACAAAGTCACCAGATGGTCAAGCTGGGATTTCGCCCTCAGGACCTCGCTCTGAACAGGAATCAGAGTGAGAGGAATTACATGAATTGAGGCAGGAAAGAATGGGGCCCACAGGGTTAAGCCTTCAGGGAGCTTCCTGAAGATAGGAAACGTGTATCTTGCTCATTTGTCTAAGTCCAGGGCCTGGGCAGTACCTGGCACATCGTGGGTGCTTAATAAATATTTGCCGAAGGAAAGAAATAGTGAGTGGTCCACTGCTGCTGGAAAATAGAGGGTGTGGTAGAGGTGGCAGGAGAGGAGAGGGGAGTGAGTAGGGAGATTTTTAGCAGAGGCAGGCTCATCAAAGTCCAGGAAAGAGTCAGAGAACTGGCTCAGGCAGTGTGGTAGGCTGCATTGCAGCGGGGAGAACAATTAGTGGGCAAGCTCATCATGAGACCATTTGAGAAGTGCAGGCATGCCAGGATGGGGAGCGGGGCTGGGGGAAAGATGGTAGCATGGAAGAGGAAGAGGCTGGGATGAGGAGGCTTGGCTCTAACCCAAGGTGGCAGATGTATTAGAAGTTAAATTCTCCATCGGACCACCTTCATTACAAACCCATTCTTTCCGTTTCCTAAGCCCCTGGGGGATGCTTGGCTGCCTCTGAGCCTACTTCCTCATCTGTAAAATGGGGATAATCGTACTTAAACAAAAGTGTTGCTCTGGGGGTTAACCAGGTTTTATGGGAACAATCAGTACTCCTCCACCCCCCACCCCACTTAACTCCTGATGTATGCAGTGACTTCACAAGAAGAGGTCTAGGCTGAGCCTCCTCCCAGGAACTGAATAAATTTCTTGGCATGTGCTAAAAGACCCAAGAGTTTTCAGAGTTTGGAATAACACTCCCCCGGGCTGGCACAGTAAGTATTGGCCAAAGCCCCACCCCTGCTGACCCCACCCACTCCTCGGTGTCTGCCTCCTGCCCAGGAGCCCAGGATATCAGCAGATAAGGTACACAGCCCAAGTTCTTCCAGAAACACAAGTTCCTTTGGAAAATCAAACTGAAAGAGGAGTAACACTGTACACCTATGCGTGTTAAACTTTTTCTTCCTAACACAGATAACTCGAGGAACCTCCACACCACCTTTTACCTATGCTCCCCACAAAAGAATGAAGTTTGGTAAAAACTGTACCTTGCACATCCATAAGCCAGATAGGCAGGTATTATGCTTACCGTTTTGTGGATGGAGAAATGGAAGCCCAGGAAGGTAGAGAGGCTGTCCAAAGGCATTCGGCAAAGCCAAAGATGGGCTGGTCTCTGGGCTCTCTGGTCCCTTGGTCCCTTGGTCCCTCAGTCCCCGGTCCCTGGGGCAGCTTCCTCTGTCTCTCTTCAGGAAGTTGTGAGCACCAAGAGCAAGCAAACACATAATTAAATACAAATAGGTATTTGGACCCACTTTATAATTTTATTTTTTAAGTTTGATTTTTCTCACTCTGTGTCTCTGGGTTTTTTGTTTTTTTGGGTTTTTAAAAGATTTTATTTATTTATTCATGAGAGACACAGAGAGAAAGAGAGGCAGAGACACAGGCAGAGGGAGGAGCAGGCTCCATCCTGGGACCCCGGGATCATGTCCTGAGCTGGAGGCAGACACTCAACTGCTGAGCCATCCAGGCATCCCTGTGTCTCTAAACATGTGTGTGTCAAAGCCCTGGGCAATAGGCAAGTTAGTTTGATCCTTGTCACTTTCTGCCCAAAGCAAATCTTGTTTTACCTCTTTTTTTTGCCTGAGGGCACATATTGCTTAATTACTTGCCCCTCTTCCCCACCCCCCCACCCCAGAAGTTTACATTTTGGGGAGACAAGATTCAACAATTTTAGCATTTTTCCCAGACTCATGTATTTGATTGTCTCTCTGTAAGAACTTGAGGATTTGGCAATGGAAAGAAGAGAGGCAGGCCTTATAGTGTGCTGTGGTAAGAGCAAGGCCTGGGAAGTTATACTGCCCTGAAACAGGTCACTTTGATATTTAGCTGCTGCCTGTGACCCCAGGCACCCACCTTACCTTCTTTTTTAAAGATTTATTTATTTATTTATTTATTTATTTATTTATTTATTTATTTATTTATTTGAAAGAGAGAGAGAGAGAGAGCACGAGAGGGAGAAGAAGAGACAATCTCAAGCAGACTGCGCTGAGCAGAGAGCCTGACTCAGGGCTCACATCTCATGACCCTGAGATCACGACCTGAGTGGAAATCAGGAGTGGGACGCTTAACTTACTGTGCCACCCAGGCACCCAAACCACTTTACTTTCTTTTCTGAACTTCAGTGACCTTCTTTTATGAGTAAAGAGAACAGTCACAAGGCCTCACCATGCCAGGCACAGTCAGGACTCAAAAGATATTTGTGGCAAGAATTAATATCTATCTCATTGGGCTATTGTGAGAATTCAATGAGATAACGAACATCAAGTATTTCTCATAGAACCTAGCACACAGTAGCTACTCAATAAAAGTAGCTACTCTTAATTGTTTTTGGTCATTATTAATATTTAGAACTGAGTATATAATGCCGCAGTGGGTCAGGAATTTTAAAGACCTGAACTCAAATCCCAATTGCATCATTTAATGTAGAAAAAGCTACTGGATTTAGGATCAAGAAATTCAGGTGTGGGGGATCCCTGGGTGGCGCAGCGGTTTGGCGCCTGCCTTTGGCCCAGGGCACGATCCTGGAGACCTGGGATCAAATCCCACGTCAGGCTCCCAGTGCATGGAGCTTGCTTCTCCCTCTGCCTGTGTCTCTGCCTCTCTCTCTCTCTCTCTCTCTGTATGACTATCATAAATAAATAAAAAATATATATATAAAAAAAAGAAATTCAGGTGTGAGACCTGGTTCTGCCCTAAACTAGCTGTGTGACCCTTGGTTAAGTAACTTCACTTCTCTGAACCTCACTGTTCTCATCTGCAAAACAAGGAAATTGAGTAATTGTTAAGATTCCTTTTTCCAGTGATGAGAGCCTCAGTTTAAGTTGTAGTCTTTTACTTTACTGTCTCTGGCCCGTTTGCCCATCTGTAAAATGGCACACTGGTGTTTAGGAGCCTCTTCCTAGGACAGAGCAGGAACAGGGTATGCAGATCCCAGGGCCCCTCCAACCTCCAAACAGCAGGCTTAGAGGTGCTTGACTGCTGGGCAGTGTGTATAGGTAACTCGTCCACATGGAGTTCCTGGTCCCCTCACAAGTTGCATGGGGGTACCTCTAGCTTCTACCTCCAATTACAGGAATATGGAAAAGAATGACCAACAATATTAGGAGAGTTCAGAGAGGATCTAGTGTGAATGACTTATAGGAAATACTTATCAGCAAGTAGGATAAAAAATAGTGCATTTGAGTGGCAAGGCGCAATAATGTACCTTCTGATTAAGAGCACATACAACGCGGTTATGAAGAATCTTGCTAAAATTCATTGAGATTCCCGTAATCATTACCTTTCTCGGGACCTCTTTTGAAGCACTGGCCTCAGTCTCCACAATTTACACAGCATTTTGACAAACAATGTCTCACCTGACTCCTCACAAAAGTTGAGAGGGTAGAAGCAAGTCAGGCATAATTTACCCCCATTTCACCACCAGGAAATGGTATCCAGGGGAAGAGAGGGATGCTCACCAAGGTGTAGAGGCTGAGTTGCAAGTTATTGAGGAGCTGGGACTAGACATCAGATTGCCTGGCTGTCCCCAACAGTGCCTGTTCTCAGTAGTCATGGTTACAACCACCCTACAACCATCTTCGTTTCCCGAGCGGTTTCAAGAGGCTTACCATAAGCCTCCTCCTGTATCCAGGAGGTCCTGTGTTCTGATCCTTGCCTTTGGAGATGGCCGACATCCCAGGCTGTTATGTCTTGAGCAAGCAGGATCACAGCCAAAGAGGCCAGGAATTCTCCCAGTGAATTGTAGGGCCATCTGATGGGTAAGCACCCAAGGTGGGGGGGGAGGTTCTTAGACACTTTCTAGGTCCTGTACCAGGCATACTTAATTCTAAAACATTTGGAATCTGTATTCAAAGTTTTCCTTCATCATCATCCATACTAAAGGAGCTGCTCGAGTCTAACCTACCACTGTAGTAGTTACTGTCTTCATAGATACTACACAAGCCCTTGTTTATCACCTCGTTTATGGTCTTTCTCCACCTTAGAGTGTAAATTCCGTGAGGACAGAGAACTTGCTAGCCTGATTGATTGCCAAACCCCGTTTCCTAGAACCCTGCAGGCCCCCACCCTATGAGGTTAGTAAATATTTATTGAATGTGCACTGAAGTTTGAAATCACTGTCCTACACCACTGGTTCATTTTACGATAGAGAAACTGAGGCCCACGGAGGAGATACCTGGTGCATAGTTTGTAAGGGGCAGGGCCAGGGCCAGGGCCAGGATAAAAATCTCAGATCTCTGAGTCCCAATCCAGCCCTGGTTTAACTCCGCCCAAAGCAATTCTTTAGAAAAAGCGAAATTCACTTGAAAGAAAAGACGTTTCCTGCCTTATAAATACTGGGTTTCAGGGGCTTGGCCGGGTGGGGGTGGGGGGCGGCTGCTGGTAATTCCGTCCCCACTTTGTAGGCACCCTTGTCCCCAAGGGTTAAGGGCTTGCCTTCGGGCCAGGCGTCGAACCCGACTGCGGGCAGTGTCCAGGCCAGGGCCCGCGGGGAGGAGCCCAGCGCGGCCCGCGGAGGTGAGGGCGGCTCGCCCAAGGTCACCCAGGCGGGGCCCCGGAGGGGCCAGGCCCGCGGAGCGCCAGGGAACCGGCAGCGTCGGCGCGTCCTCGAGGTGGGTAGGGACCCCTCGCCTTCGCCCTGTAAGTCAGGGGTGACATTAATGGCTCCGACTCCCGAGTCGGGCGCAGCCAGCCTGGAGAGCGCGAGCAGGCCCGCTCGGCCGCGTGGCCCGCTCCCATGTGCTCCACCTGCGGACGCTCCGACGCGCGGGCCCTTTAAGACACCTCCCCCTCTTCCCCCCCCCCTCTCTCCTGCCCGCCCCCCGTCGCCCGCCCGCCCTCCCTCCCGAATTGCATCAGGCACGTGCTCGCCCCCGTCCGGTCGGAGCACCCCTCACCCCCCAGCCCGGGCGGTGCTCCGAGGCCTCGGAGGCGAGGGGCGGGGCGGGGCGGGGGCGGGGCCGCGGGGCTGTGCGCGCGCGCTCCCGCCGCCTCCGCCCGCCCGCCGCCCGCCGCCCGCCGCCCGCCGCCCTGGGCCGGCCTCGGCGGGCGCGTCCCCGCCGCGCCGTCCCCTCCCCTCGCCCGCCGCGTCGCGAGGCGCGCGCCCGCCCGCCGCCTGCCGCGGATCGCGTGGTCGCCTCGGCTCGCCGCGCCTCTCCCCCGTCCGTCCATATTGCTGCAGCCCCCGAGCCGGGAAGCCCGGGCCGCCCCGGCGGCGGGGGGGAGGGAGGGACGGGACGAGAAGCCCGCCGGGCTCGGGGTGGGGGCGCCTTGCGAGGAACGGGCGGGGGGGGCCGCGCGCCGCGGAGGCCTGGACCGCAGAGTGGGGGGCCTCCCTCCCCCCCCGCCCGCCAGCGGGCCTCGGACCTACGGCGGCTGCATCCGACCGCGAGGGGAGCCGCGCCTAGCGGGAGCCCCGGCCCTTCTCCGCAGGGACTGGGGCCCGGCGGCCCGGAGGAAGGCGTCGCGGGTGCCCTGAAAGCCAAGTTCGCGGCGGGGGAGGCGGCCTCTCCGGGGGGGCGGGCGCGCAGATGGCCACTCAGGTGGAGCCGCTGCTGCCGGGGGGCGCCCCGCTCTTGCAGGCCGAAGAGCACGGGGGTCTGGTGAGGAAGAAGCCGCCGCCGCCGCCGCCGCCGCCGCCTGCCGAGGGCAAGGGCGAGCCCGGGGCGAACGACGTCGGAGGGGGGGAGCCGGACGGCGGCGCCCGGAGACCTCGGCCGCTCTGCGCCAAGCCGCACAAGGAGGGCACCGGGCCGCCGGAGCGCGAGAGCCCGCGGCCGCCGCCGCCGCCGCCGCCGCCGCCGCCGCCGCCCGGCGCCGAGGGCCCGGCGGTCAGCGACGGGGAGGAGGGCGGCGGCGAGCCGGGCGCCGGCGGAGCCGCGGCCGCGGGGCGCCGGGACTTCGTGGAGGCCCCTCCGCCCAAGGTGAACCCGTGGACCAAGAACGCGCTGCCGCCGGTGCTGGCCGCGGTGAACGGACAGTCCCCTCCAGGTGGGTCCGCCTGCTGGCTCCCCGGGCCGGGACCTCTTCCGGGGAGGAGGGCGTCCCCTCCCCCAGCGGCCTTGAGGGCCCGGGGGTCCGCCGCCGGCCGTCGTGACTCGGGGCTTTTTCCTTTTCTCTCTTTTTCTTCGCCTCGGGTTTGCGTTGGGCCGCCGTGCCCGGTCCCCCGACGCGCTCGGGAAGCCGCCCCGGCCGAGCCCGGCCTCCGGGAGCCCACGGCCGGCGCCCGGGCCTCGGCGGCTGGCGGGCAGCGGCGTGGCCCGGGCCTACCCCGCGGGGGGACGGCGGGCGCGGGCGGCAGCGAGGGCCCCCGCCCCCGCGAGCGGGTGTCGGGGACGGCGCCTGGCCGGACGCGTTCCCGGGAAGCCCCTCTTCCCGCCGCGCCCCGCCCCACGCTCGCGTCCCGGGAGCGCCGCGATCGGCCCCATGTTGTGAGCGTTTCGTGAGCATATGTCAGGGCGGCCGCACGGATCCGGGCGCGCAAAGTGAGCAAGTTTTGTCGTGTGGTAGGTGGTCGTAGGCGGCAGGGGCGCCTCGGGCGACGGGTCGAGGGGTCGGTTACGGGGACGAGGACGAGGAGGACGAGGAGGACGAGGAGGAGAGAGGAAGCCCAACGTGTCACTGGCTTCGGGGGTTTCCCTTCCCGGTCCCGGGGACCTTCCGCCTCGAGAGGGGGCCGGGCGGCGGGCGTGCGGGGGACCCGCTCCGGGGGAGGCGGAAAATGGGCGGCGAGGCCGGGGGCACGCGGCGCGCCGAGGGGCGTGCGGCGGCGGGGGAGGGAGTGGCCGCGCCGGGCGGGCGGGCGGGTGACAGTTGGGCGCCATGCGCCGCGCCGGCGGCCCGCGGGCTGCTGGCGGCCGCGGGGCCTGTGCGTTGGGGGTGGAGGGCGGGTGCGGGCGGGTGCGGGCGGCGGCGGCGGCGGCGGCGGCGGCGCGGGGAGTGCGTGTGCGCGGGGAGTGCGTGTGCGCGGGCCCTTCCCGGCATTCCTCCGCAGCCGGGACGGCGTGGTGCCTCCCCGCGCGGGCAGCGGCATGTGACCGCCGCCGCGCTGCCCGCGCCCTGCCCCTCCGGCTCGCGGTTTCGGTCCTGCGGCCCCGGGCCCTGGGAGATCGCCGCGGGGCCGTGTCAGCGCGGGGGCGGGCGGGGGGCGGGCGGTGCCGAATCCGGAGGCCGGCGGGCCTCGGTGGCCGGCTTGGGCGGGGGGCGCGCGGAGGCGCCGCGCTCGGTGTGTTGGGCCCTTTGGCAGTGGATCCGGAGCGAAGCCGGCCTGAGGCTACAGCGGCGGGCCTGCGGCCTCCGCCCCGGTGCCGGTGCCGGTGCCGGTGCCGGTGCCGCGGCAGAACTCCTCCCTTGCTGCAGCCGCTGGCCGAGGGGGACTGGCCGAGGTTGAAGAGGGAGCTGATTAAGGCCTTCACATTCGAGGTGGGGATTAGAATCCACTCGTAGTCCTAGGGAAACCAGAACAGCCAATTCTGAAAATAGCATGTTGCAATTTTTATTTCTTTGAAGGTTGCTTCATTTGGAGGAGGGGACATTGACGTTTACTAATGATACCTCAAACCGTGTTCTCTCTTCCTTCTGCGCTCTCTCCCCTTCCCCCCTTTGCCTTCCAGAACCCTCTTATGCAAAGGGCAGTGCTGAAACCTCCATTTTCTTGCATATCCCTCCTGATCCACCCACAGAGGGAGGGAAATCAACTTTAAAACGCTCTTTGGTCCTTCCCCCGTCTTTAAACTCAAAGGGGTATAATCATCCCCAGGAGAGAGCGCTCCTCAGAAGTTTAAATGGGGCTACTCACCCTGGCTGCTGCTGCTGCTGCTGCTTAGCTTAATGGTGAACCTGCCTTGTGGGTTTTAAATCAGCCGTGACATCAGGTGGTATTGGGTGCCTGAGCTGGCATTTTGTGCAAGTGCAGTGCACCCTTGATAGGGTGCGTCACTGGGGTTATTGATCGTGGGAAGAAGACAGCTTGGCTGGCATCTCGCCTTTCCCTGGAGTGGAGAAGCCAACTTGCTTTAAGTGCCCAAAGCAAAATTCTGAGCCTAGTAGTTTTGCTCTGTTTTTGTTTTTCAGGAGTCTTAAGGCAAGAAAGTGTCTTGTCTGCTCGTTGGTTTTTGAACCTTTGGACTAGTCTTTGACAGACTTAACTCTCAATTAATCCAGTAGCTTCTTTGCTTAAAAGCCTGTTATTAGGGCCTGGATGCTTTTTGAGAGAGAATTTTGTGATTGAATTGTCTGTCTGGTAAGGTTAGTTGGTGGCCCTTTCTTTGGAGAGTCTACATCGACTGCTAAGGCAGTTTTTCAGTCCTGATTTTATTTGCAACTTAGACAAGTTTAAATGTGACACCAATGGAGTGGCAGTGTGGTCTTGGGAATTTTTGTGTTCTGTGATGCATATGTTTTTGGGAGTCCACAGAAATGAGTGCCTCATAAGCAAGCTAAAAGCTTTCCAGAGCTTGCTGCAAATGCCTATTTTTAGCCCTCCTTTTGGCTCGGATGCTAGTGTTTTAGTGCTTTAAGGGACACATGCAGTAACTAGTAATAAAAGATGTTTTCCACTATCCCCCCCCCCCATTCTTAAGTCAGGACTTACGTTCCCCTAGAATATTTTGAAGACATTTAATTTTTTTTTCCCTTATTCTAGCCACAGCTACTGAGTATGAGAGAAGCAGGGTGAGAAACGATACACTGCAAAGGTTCTGGGGTTAAAACAGCATTCGCTCAAATGCCAGCTCTCCCACTTGCTGGCTGTGCCTCCTTGGGCAAGTAACTTAACCATTCTGTGTCTCAGCTTCTCCATTTATCTAATAGGGAGTAAATTAAGATTTATCTGCTTCATAGGGTTGTTGTCAGCATTCACTGTAGTGATATCCCAATGCTTGACATGTAGTAGCTGTTATACCATGTCTGGGAGACTGTCGGGCTTTCCAGGACTTTTCCTGGGTTGCCATCTTCTCCACCTGTAAGATGGGGTTGGTGGTGGAGGATATGCAGTACTTTTCCTTTTCTGGGATTGTGTCAGTATTCCATGAAATATATGGGATCCATCTCCTCAAAAATGGAGTTCTCCTTACCCCAGACAGGAAGGACATATTGTGGATAATCTTAAAGGTTGCTGACCCAAGGAATTGGCTATTTTTGCTTCGGAATGTGGTGTGATGACTGTTTTAAAAATATTTTTTAATTTGTTTATTTGCGTTTCATAAAAACTACTTTTGGTAGAGTGCACATGTACTCTCAAGGGCTGTGGGGAACAGCCGTGGCTGAGCTAAAAG